CGAATGAAAACTATCGAGATAAGTAAAAGCTCGATTTTTCGATAGTGTTTTTTGGTTAAGTGGTGTGACTCTTACCATAGCGAGAAGGATTGGTTACCATGTCTTGGAAGATACCATAAGCATTTATGTAAGTGAATTTAGCATCTGGTGTGTTTTGGTTGAAATGATCGACTAGCGACACGAGCTTCTGTTAAAGATTCTGTTTGCGGAATTGATCCTTTCGTCACAAGTTCTCCCGTCTCTACTGTTCTGAGCCAGCTCATTTGGACTGCAACCTATTGCACCGATACCGATTAGCGCAAATTTCCTCTCTCCATTGCTATACATTATCTACTCAAAGGATTAAGAAACAGAGGACATAAATCAGAGAGCATATTGAAACAGAGGATATGCAACTAAATGAACGTACCCGAAGTTGCTCGGTGTAGCGGTTTATGAGGTCATTGGCAAAGGAATCCGGGGAGTATTGGTTTCTGGTCGAGTAAATAGAGAGGCATGAAGTAGTTATTGAGATAATCGTTACTACCTAAACCGATCGAGTAAATACATTTGCTTAGGTAATTAGCAGCTTCGCTTTCGTCTCCGAGTATGTTCGCCACTTGTGACACAGTGTTTACATGATTAGCTACTTGTCCTGCAAATGTAATTCTACCTCCCTGAACCAGTAAAGGAAAGAGATTTATGGTTTCCTAGTTAAGAAACTTAAGTCTAAATGATATGTTTATCAAACAAAAAATCGGTTATTATTACCAATTGACGACCGGTTTCTTCTCGGATTCCAGCAGCTGCAGAAGCGTAGTTTACTCCTCTAAGAATGTCTTCTCCTCTTGCTTGTGCATATGGTGTAATGTAGTCATCGAAACCAAGAAGCTCGGCTTTTTTAGATTTCGCGGAAATAAAAGCAACAGAATAAGTTAGCTGTTTTGTTTGTTCAAGTTGCATGTTTTGTACCCAAAAAAAAACAGAAACTTGAATGAAGTAATCTTACTGATGACATCTACGGTTGTTTTTCCGTTGCAGAACCGGCCGGTTGGACCAAACTGGAAGTCGATACCGTAAGGGAAGTAATCAGCTCTTGCTAAGGATTGAAGCTGATTGTTGTTTCCACTATCAACCAAAGAATCACCAAATATGAAGTAACATGGTGCTATTGGATCACACATAGCTATGTTCATAGCCATAGCCATCATCATCATCATTACACAAACTCTTGCCATCTCTCTGGAAACCCTTATCCGATA